TGAGTGCTGGCCCGCCTCCCCGCACCCCTGCATCACGTGAGTACAGGCCTGCCTTCCTGCACGCAGCCGTGCACTGTGTGAGTGCTGGCCCGCCTTCCCTCATCCCTGCACCACGTGAGTACAGGTCTGCCTTCCTGCACGCACCCATGCATTATGTGAGTGCTGGCCCGCCTCCCCGCACCCCTGTACTGCATGAGTGCTGGCCCACCTCCCTGCATGCACCCATGCACTGTGTGAGTGCTGGCCCACCTCCCTGCACGCACCCATGCACTGTGTGAGTGCTGGCCCGCCTCCCTGCACCCCTGCACCGCATGAGTGCTGGCCCGCCTCCCCGCACCCTTGTACTGCGTGAGTGCTGGCCCGCCTCCCTGCACGCACCCATGCACTGTGTGAGTGCTGGCCCGCCTCCCCGCACCCTTATACTGCGTGAGTGCTGGCCCGCCTCCCTGCACCCCTGCACCGTGTGAGTACTGGCCCACCTCCCTGCACCCCTGCACCGCGTGAGTGCTGGCCCACCTCCCTGTACCCCTGCACCGCGAGAGTACAGGCCCACCTTCCTGCATGCACCCCTGCATCGGGTGAGTGCTAGTCCACCTCCCTGCACCCCCACACCGCGAGAGTGCTGGCCTGCCTTTCCACACGCACCCCTGCACCGCATGAGTGCTGGCCCGTCTCCCTGCACCCCTGCACCGTGTGAAGGCTGGCCCATCTCCTCACACCCCTGCACCGTGTGAGGGCTGGCCCGCCTTCCCTGTGCGTGTGAGCCTTACACACCGATTTCTGTTAGGGCAGACGCAGCAGGTGTGTGCTTAAATTGTCCACTGCCTGTCGGGTCCTCGGTGTTTAATGAGCCACTGAGTGATGGCACGGCAGAAACCCTTACCCCCTTTTCCACGAGAAGCCGCGGGTTGCTGGTACAGGAAGGCCCCCCCCCCCTGCAGTCCCGCCTCATGCCAGCGGGCCAGTGCAGTCCCTGGACTGATATCTGGTCTTTTTTTTGAGACCGGTCTTGCTTCCTGCCCAAGTGTGTGCCTGTCTAGTCCACCTGTGGGAGGCTTCATGGCACAGCTGAGGCAACAGGTGTGGTGCACCTCCTCGGTCTCCCAGATTCTCCACTCAGGATTGCCTAGAACTGCAATCCTCCCGTTCCTAGGTTTCCAAGGAGCTCAGGTGGCAGGTGTGACCACTGCCCAGCATGGCATTGTTTGTGTTTTATCCCTGGTAGTGTGAAGCTCACTGTGTGAACTCTGGTGTTGGGTCCTCAGCTCCAGTGTTCAGTGTGAGTCCGTAGTCTGTCAAGGCGTGGCCTTTTTCCTATCCTCTCTGTGGAGGATGTGGCCTTTCCCTGTCCATCCTCAGTGTGTGGGGGCGTGGCCTTTCCCTGTCCATCCTCAGTGGGGGGCGTGGCCTTTCCCTGTCCATCCTCAGTGTGTGGGGGCGTGGCCTTTCCCTGTCCATCCTCAGTGTATGGGGGTGTGACTTTCCCTGTCCATCCTCAGTGTGTGGGGGCGTGGCCTTTCCCTGTCCATCCTCAGTGTGTGGGGGCGTGGCCTTTCCCTGTCCATCCTCAGTGTATGGGGGTGTGACCTTTCCCTGTTCATCCTCAGTGTATGGGGGTGTGGACTTTTCCTGTCCATCCTCAGTGTGTCAGGGCGTGGCCTTTCCCTGTCCATCCTCAGCGCATGTGGGCGTGGCCTTTCCCTGTTTATCCTCAGTGTATGGAGGCATGGCCTTTCCCTGTCCATCCTCAGTGTGGCATGGTATTGTCTTGGGGCCTGACCTTTTTTCTTGTGAATTTGCCATGGTTGATGTGCTTAGCGTATTCTGCTAAGAGGTGTTCTGCTGAGTGTTTCCCACATTTCCTTCTTGGGGTGACAGTGTGTCAGGCTGCTGTGTCCCCCATGACTTGGTAGATGTCAGTTTGCTTGGTGGATGCCTTTGTTTATTTGGCCTTCTAAGGTGGTGTTGGCACAGGGGTGTGCCTGTCCTCTGTGAATCACAACGCGCTGTGGCGCGGAAGTGGAGATAGCCACTGCCCAGAGCTGGGTGGGTCCCTAGCCTGACAGCGTGTGGGGCACCTGTGGGGAGCAGGTTCTTCCTGGAGCTTCAGCTCGCGTGGTGGTGAGGGATGGTAAACACCAGTCCAGTGTCAAACCACCAGGGAGCAGAAGCAGTTATGTGGGTGGCACTGCTGGGCTCAAGGTCACAGGTGATGGCTCAGGGATCCCGGTGGGAATTGGAGGTTGCTGGGGATGCCACGAGGCAGTGGCAGATGCCGAGAAGAAGTGAGAAGAGCAGGGAGCCCTTCAGCGTCAGGGCTGGGACAGCCTGGCCTGTCCCATGCTAAGGGGCGAGGGGGCTTCTTCAGGCTGCCCCTCAGTGGGGAGGGAAGGCGCTGGCTAGCTTCCCGGGCCAGGGTGGCACAGGAAACTGTGGTACTAGAGACGGCTGCAGGGCCAGCCCATCCTCTGCCCTGACCCCTCTGCTGCTTGCTGCAGTTGGAAGTTAGCTGCAGCTCTTGTATGCTCTCGGTCTCCTCCTGATCTCCCACAGCTGTGAGTTTGAATCCTAGACCAGTAGCTGGAGACCTGAAGGCCCTTGGACCATTTCTTTACCTTTAGGCCTAGACGGGGGCTTGAGCAGTTCAAAAAGGAGGCATGTGCTGGACAGCGCCAGACCTGAGCAGGTGCCCAGCCTCGGCAGCATGTGCTGGGAGGTGCTGCAGCTGACGGGTCCTCTGCTCTGTCCTTAGGACCTGGTGAGCATGGTGGAGCAGCTGGCCAGATTCCTGGGCGTGGCCTGCGACAAGGCCCAGCTGGAGGCCCTCATCGAGCACTGCCACCAGCTGGTGGACCAGTGCTGCAATGCGGAGGCCCTGCCTGTGGGCCGGGGTGAGTGCTCCCTGGCCCCTGCCTTGCCGGGGTCCTCCCTCCCTTTTGTCTGCCTGTTGCCTCCCTTCTGGAGCACGTGCTGGCCTGTGCGCTCTGGCGGCGCCTGTTGATGCTGCTCGAGGCCCAGCAGTGTGCCCTGCCTGCTCACAGCTAGAGCCCGGCATTTGAGGGGATGGTGCTGGCTTTGGCAAGACAGCCCAGCAGTCCTTTCTGATGGCGGAGGTCAGTGCCCCACAGAGCAGACCCACGCCAAGCGCAAGGCTGCCCGAAAGGTTTTCCTGCCTCTATTGGCAAGCAGGAGAGTGAGCTGGAGTGGGGAGGGGGGGCGTGCGGCGGGCAGTAGTGGCAGGGAGCAGGTCCTGGGTGAGGAGACCCTCCCCTTCCTTCACCCAGGACACCCGTGTCTGCTTGGAACAGGCAGCAGAGTCGTCCACCCTTAGGGCAGGCGCGGGTATAGACAGGGCAGGAGCTGTGGAGATGGCCCACAGGAGGCAGGCTCCTGGCTCAGCGACAGGTGGTAACGTGTGGGCGCGGAGCCCCTGAGGGGGGACCCTCAGGAGGTGTCCCCCTCCCCCCACATGGCAGCTACCCAGGGGTGTGGTGGGAGCTTCAGTACTGCAGTCCCCGGCGGCGGGGAGCCCCAGGCCAGGAGCCCCTCTTGGTGACTGTGGACAAAGGTGGTGGGGGCTGAAGCCCACAGCGGGATGGACTAGAAGCTTGCAGGAGGAGGAAGCTCGAGAGAAGGTTCCAGAAGGATGGATCCATCCTCTATAGCCAGGGAAAGACAGGAGCTGCCCACGGCTTCGTGTCCTTGCTGTGGCGGGCTGGTCACAGCAGTAGAGCTCTGAGGGTCAGGCGTGCAGGCCCTGTCCCTCCTACAGGAATAAGTTATCAGAATACCAGAATTCCCTGCCGTGCATTTCCTGCTTGTGTTTCCACAAGTATTTATCATTTAAAATTTATTTGCCATTTTTTTAATTTGCGTTTGCTGTGTTTTGTTGTTTTGCCATGACCCCCCCCTCCCCTCTGGCACATTCCCTCAGTGTGTATGTGTGTGCGTGTGTGTGTGTACGCACATGTGTGCTGATGAGCTGTGGGACCCTTGTGGGGACACAAAGGGTCCTGCATGCTCATGGGGTGTTTGTGTCACCATCGCCCGCTTGGTTGCTTCATTTCAGTTCTGTGGTTCTGTTTCCTTTTAGCACACTGCCTCTTTGCTCGGACGACGCCCCCAGGGCGCTGAGAATGCAGGGCTGGAGAGCCAGCCGCATTGCTTAGATTTGATTCTTACCACACCATAAATTGTCTTGAGTCAGATCCTAAACCAGGTGGGTGACTCCTTCCACCGGCGCTCCACCGGGACAAACCACAGAAAAGTAGATGTATAGTGTGGCTGGTCTAGAAGCTCCTAATGTTGTCCCTTCAGCACATGAGAGGGTAGCAAGAACTGATCGATGTCCTTTCCTTCTGCCAGCCTCTCTTCTTGTTACTACAGAGAAATCCCCGCCCTGCCAGGGTGTGACCTTCCGCTGTGAGGTCCCGGGCTGCCCCCACACAGGCCCTGCGGGGACAGGTGTGGGACAGAAGCCCTGAGGGAGAGGGGGCATTGCCAGGGACAGCAGAGCCTGACCTCAGGGGCTGCTCAGGAGCTGTTGAAATGCGAGTGAGGGGCCAGCCACGGTGACGTGGGCCTCTGGACGGTGGCGCGCGGTGCACGTGCGCTCCGGGGGAGTTAGTTGTCTGCCCTGCTCGCGTCAGCACAGCATTTCATTTGCTTTGAAGGCTCCCCAGGTATTCCAGTGCAGGCCTCCAGAACTCTCCACATGTGGCATCGTCTGGAGCATTTCCTGCACGCCAAGGTGTTGTGTCTTACAGGGGGTGAATTGTTTTCTTCACATTCTCCCAAGGCACAGCGTGAGCAGTGAATGAGCCCCTGACCACAGTTCCACACAGTGCCAGCGTGCACATACCTGTGCCAGAGCATGTGATGGTAGAACACACACACACACATACACATACCATGACAAGCCCACATGTCTGAGCACACACACGTGTGCACACACACACTGACAGGGACTGCCCTTGTGCTTTCAGGGACATTTACCAAGTCTTTCTATGTGCTGTAGTTTCCGATTTCTGACCCAGCTGGCCCATCCTCTCCCTTGGGACAGTTGAGGGGTTCCATGTATTAGATCTAGAGGCCCACGGATAGATCTGGAGGCCCATGAGTAGATCTGGAGGCCCACGGATAGATCTGGAGGCCCATGAGTAGATCTGGAGGCCGAGGCCCACGGATAGATCTGGAGGCCCATGAGTAGATCTGGAGGCCCACGGATAGATCTGGAGGCCCATGAGTAGATCTGGAGGCCTGCAGGGCTGGCCCTGGGCTCCCCTTGCCTGCCCGCAGCAGGCACCGACTGTGCCGTGATCTGTGTCGCAGGGCGTGTGGGGCTGTGGAAGGACATCTTCACCGTGTCCATGAACGAGAAGTTCGACCTGGTGTACAAACAGAAGATGGGGAAGTGTGACCTCACCTTTGACTTTTATTTATAATCCTGAACCCGCGAACTTGCATGCTCACCATACCCAGGCGCTCAGCTAGCTCCACGTCCTGTATGCATTCATCGACTCTTTGCTGGACGCACGGGAGGCCGTGGGGCAGACCTGGCGGAGGGGGAGAGCCGGGAGGGCGCCATGCAGAGCCGCTGGCTCGCCTCCACTTTTCCCCGGAGATTGTTGCTCTGCAGGCCCATACCCCAGTGCGAAGTCTGTCCCTGCACACCCTGTTACTGTATTTTATCAAGCTTCTCACTGGAAATCTCATAAGTGTCAGTCAGCCACATACAAAGTCATGTCGGAGGGGAGGCCAGAGCCAGCCCTGCCTGATGGTGGCAGGTCTCGGGGAGCTGGCGTCGCAGGCTCTTTGCTTGGGGCTCCTGCTGCCCCTGAAGGACGGGTGGGGCCCTGGGGAGCTGGGGTTCAGTCCTTTGTAACCGCCCTGGAGAGAGCCTGTTCCAGCCAGGGTCAGGAAGAGACTTCCAGGAGGAAGGCTGCTGAGGAGGCCAGCGGATGGAGGCCAGTGTCTGAGTGTCACAGGCTGTGTGGGGACTTCACGCAGATGGAGGCCTGGAGAGAGCATGTTCCTGATGAGGCCATGGCCGGCTCATCCCTCCCACAGGACCAGATCAGCACCCCTCTGGGCCTGGGGCTCTGGCCCAGAAAGCCAGGATGGCTGGTCCCGCACCCTTGTCCACACACACGGGACGGGACCCCTCAGTACTCTGAGGGGACCGGCTGGGTGACGGCGGCTGCGGCGTGGGCCAAGGAGGAAGGGGCCTCGTGGAAAGGGCTGGTGGGGCCTGTGATGGCGTTGGTGCCTCCCCTGCAGCACGGTGGGCACAGCCCACGAGTGTCTAGGAGGGGCGGCTTCCTGTGAAATTCTGTTTCTATTTTTCTATTTGTGGACTGTATGGAATTCCTGAGCTCTCCCGCGGTTCTCCACGCTTGCTTGCATTTTAATAAAGACCCCTCTCTGCTCTGTGTGTGTGTGCGTGTGTGTGTGTGTGTGTGTTGGGTGGAGGGCCGTGTGTGTGTGTGTGTGTGTATGTGTGTGTGTGTGTTGGGTGGAGGGCTGTGTGTGTGTGTGTGTGTGTGTGTGTGTGTGTGTGTTGGATGGAGGGCCGCAGGGAAACAGTGGTAGCTTTTCTGGCAATTCTGGGGCTTGGCAAGTGCTCTGCGATGCACCTCCCCCCACCCCCAGCCCCTTTGCTTGATTTTATTTGGAGGTGGGGTCTTAACCAACTTTATACTGGGTGCCTCTCAAATCACAATCTGTCTTCACCTCCAGGCAGCTGGAGTTACAGGCATGAATTACACCTGAACTGTGCGGGTTTTTTCCTCTTCCTCTTATTGGCGTGTATGAGTGATGGGGGTGGCGATCTCCACACGGTCAGACCTCCTTCATCACACTCTGCTCCTCCCCCCATGAAAGCATCTCCAACAGATACCTCCTCCATCTGCATAGTTGCAAAGGATCTATTCCAACCTCCTTTGTCCTCTCTCCCTCCTCCCCCCAAGGCGGGTTCTGCTGAGGCAGAATGGCTGTTTCAACTCTTAAACTTTCTAGGGTTGAACCCTCCCCCTTTCCCAGTTACCTTTGACCTCTTTACAAAAGGAAATGGGTCACATGGGGAGAAAGAACACGGTGGGGGGGGGGGATCCTGGTGTCTCCTCCTGGTCCCACACTCAGGAGCCCTGTCCCTGGCACCGGGGGTGAAGTCCATCCCCCACCCGCACCCCAAATGCAGAGCCTTCATGCAAATCGCTTCTTCCTGCCCTGTGAGACCCTGCAAGGCACAGCCTGGCCCCTGTTTGGTGGGGGGGGGCTCCAGTTGGGCACTGGTGGACTTCCTCCCCCAGGCTCATTCTTCGGTAGCGACTTGAACACCTACTGTGTGCTGGGTTCTGTGCAGAGGAGGGATACTGGGGCCCCGAGCTGAGGCGGGCAGGGGAGGGCAGGACCCCATGGCCTTGAGGTCATGCGTGTTTGGGTTCTGGACTAAGCTGGGAGCCATGGCGGGGAGGAGGGGTTAATCAGAAGGTAAACCTGGCTTGACCCTGAGTCCTAGGCAGGGCTGAGGGCCCCTTACCTGGGTGTCTGGGTCTTAGGCACAGCTTGGGGCTGGGAGCTGTGTTAGGGTTCTCCAGTACCCCCCAGTGGTCTGCAGAGGCTGTTTATGTGATGGGTCCTGAGTGTTGGTAGTTCTGTCTCTGCCCAGCAAGGGGGAGCAGGCAGCAGGGCACCTGGGCACTAGGACTGGATGCCAAGCCAGGCCTGCAGGCAGGAGAGACCAGGCCTCCATCAGTTCACCTGACAAAGGTTAGTGGGGAGGGAGGCTGCTGATCATTACACAGAGGACAGATGAATGAAGATTCTAGAAAATGTGTGTAGAGGGAGAGCACAAGGGTGTGTGTGTGCGCATGTGTGTGTGTGGGGGGGGTTAGATTAGGATCCCTGTGGGTAGCAGTTCTCAGCAGCCCCTCGGCATGTGTGTGTGGGGGGGGGTGTGGTTAGAGCAGGATCCCAGTGGGCAGCAGTTCACAGCAGCCCCTCCCGAACATTGTGTGTGCGCTCGCGCGCGTGTGTGTCTGGGTGTGGAGTTAGAGCAGGATCCCAGTGGGCAGCAGTTTGCAGCAGCCCCTCCTGTGCTGGCCACTGGCACCTCCACCCCCCTGGAGCCCCTCCTTGGTGTTGGGGTTCACCTGGAAAGGGAGCCACCAGATTTTACCCTCCCCTCCACCCCCAGGCAGGGAGACTTAGTTCCCAGACCCTGGGCCATGGTTCACACCATGGAGGCCTCATTCTGGGCGCTTGCCAGGCTGCCCAGCGCCAGGCTGCTTTGGGAACTTTGATTTCCCCACCCCTGCCTGGTTGCCTGCACCGCCCCCTAGTGGCCACAGACGTCCTAACTGATAGGAGGTGGGGTATCAGAGCTGCAGGCTGGTGCTGGGGGACCTGAATATGGGAGGGTTTTCACTCACACACACACACACACACACGAGGCCAGGACAGCATTGTCTGCTCCCCGAGGGAACTATGAGCAGGGAGATGTAGACAAGCCGAAGAGGGGTGGGCCAACAGAACAGTCTCCGCGCCCCGCCTCCCCAGTATGGCCACAGGTGCCTGCCACTCAGCAAGGCCACTGCCAGCAACTCCAGCCACCTCCAGGCACCTGTCACACAGTGGATGAGATGTGCCGAGCCTTCGCCAGATCTGCACATCAAATGCCAGTCTGATGCCATGCCGGGGTCCTGTGGCAAGCTGGCACGGAGTGTCTGAGCTTCCTGCCTGCTACCACAGAGGGAGCCTGTGCTCTATTAGAAAGCATTTTCTGAAAACTGGGGAATGCCAAGTGTGTCTGTAAGATGAGAATCAAGCAGGAAGCTCATTTTCTCCTTCCTGAAGTTGGCATTACCTCCATCCCTCTGCGGCACTGGGCACCAGCAGGGAACAGGAAGGAGCCAGGCTCACACGAGTGTGCCGTGTGCACAGCCAAGACACCATTGGAGCTGCCAGAGGGATGTTGGTCTCTTGCCGGCATCCTCAGAAAACCCCTGTGAGTGGCTAAAATTGCCTCTGCTGGAGGCCTGCTCCCGGCTCTCCCGGCAGACCCTGGCTGGTCCCCGCTGCCCGTGGTGCCGTGGCTGGCTGGACTGTTGCACTGGCTCTTCGGGATCCGAGCTGTGCTCAGGGCTGGCGGCCCACGAGCACCTTTTGGTCAAGGCTGTCACATAGGTGGGACCTGGGAACCTTGGTCCAAAGCTTCTGGAGGCCAGGGCCACGCCTCCTGCTTTCTCAAGTGCAGAGCCCTGAGTGAAGGCAGCAAGGAGGCCAGGGCCACGCCTCCTGCTTTCCCAAGTGCAGAGCCCTGAGTGAAGGCAGCCAGCGAGGCCAGGGCCACGCCTCCTGCTTTCCCAAGTGCAGAGCCCTGAGTGAAGGCAGCCAGCGAGGCCAGGGAGCAGCCCCCTCCCCCCACTCTGGCCCCGCCTCCTGCCACCTGTGTCCCCAGCCTCAGAGCTCAGCTTCGTTGTCACGAGGACCCTCCATGGCCCGGACACCCCTTCCACCCCAGGACCCTGACCTCCATGTCTGACAGAGCCTTCCGAACAAGAGGCAGTGTGGGTGACCGGCCCCACGTTCATCTGTTGCCTTCCAAGCCATTGTGAGATGGGCCACCCCTGGCAGACGGGCGGAGCTGCAGTGGCTGACGGCCACTGCTGTCTGAGGCCCCTAGCACCTTTGGGGGGCTCTAGCCCCCAGCACGGTGACCAGGTCCTGTGTCACAAGACCACACAGCAACAGGGACAGTCTTTGGCTTTGGTGTTCATAATTGTGTTCACCTTTTCTTTTCCTATTAGATATTTTCAGCCCCAGTAGGAGCATGAGCAGGGATGGGGCTCATTCGTTCCCTCCCCCCACAGCCCTTCCTCCCCCCCCCCCCCCCCCCGTGCCCCGTCCCCATGCTGGACTTGTACAACCCTCCATTCCTATCAGGTAATCAATAAGTGCTCGTTACCTCACCAAAGGCAAATTAAATGCTAAACAGCACTAATGACAAGCTGTTGCAGGATCTAGCACTTAGCAAAGAGAATTACTCATGATTGCCGGGGGGTTGCTTATTATGGGGTGTAAGGAACGCGGAACTCTTCTTCTAACAGCATCTTTATTCCAGGGGGAGGACGCTGCTTTGTAACGTCGAGGTACGGGGAGCTTCATTAACATTCTCTGTGCCAGAATTCTGCACTGGAATCTTGTTTGGGAGCAAGATAAGTGGGCTGTGCATTCTGTTTCCATGAAAGAGAACAGCCAGCAACTATGAAAAGAAAGTAAGAGTTTAGCACAGCAACACATCGGGGTGGGGGGTCCATGGGTTCATCTCAGGTGCTATGCTGCTTTAGCACCCTAAAATAGATGCCACCAGGGCCCCATTTACAAGAGGTGATCAGTTATTTGGAGTGGCAGAGCTTCAGATGTGCAATTTAGTTTCTGGCTGATTGAATGAAACTAGGCAGCCATGTCATCTGTCAAGGTAAATATCGTCGAGAGAAAGGATCTATTTCAGTGAAGAAAAAACCCACCACAGTAGCTTTTCCCCAAGAGCTACTTACACCTCATTTGTT